TAAGAAGGCTGGAATGGATGGGACACTAAACAGGAACATCTCTAATATGATGACAGGATAGAAGGCACAGATCAATTATCTACAAATTGTAATAAGCCCATTACATGGAAATATAAATAGTATATATATTATGAAGTAATAACTATATTTGTCCAAAGCAAAAAATTAAGAACAGTGGCACGATTCTACATTTTGTAAATCTCCCCCCAATTTCTGGATTGACAGAAGACAGCTGGATTCTCATATCTGCATTTGCATATAATGTGAGGTGAAATGTTGTTTTGATTGAAGTATATAAAAAAATGAAGCATCACATAGATCAGCATTTTGAAAATGGAGAAGTATTTTAATAGCATTTTTATATAATTGTGGATGTTCTTTCTGATACTATACCAAAACAATTTTATGATAGTTTCTTAAAGTTACTTGCAATGTGAAGTCTGAAACTATATCAATAAACTTCTTATACTGTGTAACATTTTAAAAAACAAACAAAAAAAAGAAGGCACAGAGTGTGAGCTAATATACTGGTTGGTTAGTAGAGTTGGCAGCAGGAAGGTAAGAAATCTCTCTTTCAAGCAGATGTATTCTTTTTCCCCAGGCACATTCAGGAGCTGAGGTGCAAGTGCAGAAAAGGCCAAGTGTCAAGTTTAGACAGGGCTGGGGTTTTACCAAGAGAGTTCTATCGAGTGGGGGAGTTGAAGGTAGTTTGCAACTGAACGACTTTGATGTTAACAAACGACAGTGATGTTAACATGGGAGAAGAATTATCACTGGAGTGTAGGCACTGCAGTGAGACAGAAAGATAAAAATGCTGATCAGAATATCGCAGGCTTGAAATCAAGATTTCAGAGGTTTTACAGTTACTGATGATGATCCTTGGAAAGGAGAAAGTCAAGAGACTGAGAGGTTCAGAGTGTCAGATGGTTCAACAAATGGATATTGAGGTCTCTGAGAACGGGGAGGGGACAGTGGTCAAGAGGAAGACTGTGAGCAGGGTGCAAACGTCCTAAGTGATGAGGTTTAAAACACAATAGCAACAATGGGGTGTCTATGGTATAGTCTGACAGCATGAATTTCCAAAGCAAATTGGTTCTGGATGGAGAGAGGAGTAGAAATGATTTGGATGCTGCCCTGAGCGACAGGGAGGACGCCCACCTTACCACCTCCTGATTAGTGAAACAGGGCTTCCCTGTGACAGGGCCGGGAAAGAATTGGTATCCTCAGGGGCACAGGCTGTTTTTAAACAGGGCAAGAAGATAAAGGAACGATCAGAGACCAGGCTGAGTTTTTAAGGGAGTTTGCCAAATGACAGACCATGAGGACATGGCAGCAGAGTCTGGAAGGGCAAAGAAGGTGAGCAGGAAACTGACTCCAATGAAGGGAGGAACCGAGCAGGTGGGAACGAGAATATGGATAATAACGGATGGCTGCGAGGCTTAAAATGTTAGGGATAAGAGTGAGGTAAAGTGGTATTTAAGACATTTCAGGATCAACTCTAGTAGTATATTAAAGAATCGTGAACCATCAGTTTGAAACATGGTCCAGACAATTTAGCTAGAAAACATGGAGCTACTGGGAGCTGCTCATTCCTGGAACAGGTGGAGGTGGAAATCAGTGAAATAACAAATAAAATAAGCCCTTGAATACTTCTTAAAAAGTGAGAACATATCTATTAAAATTAAAACAATGTGCTCTTTTACTAAGCAGGTTCGCTTCTTGGGATCAATCCGCATTATATACAAACCATGTAGCACAACTTCAATAGCCGACTTTTATCATAAACATGTACAATGGTGGAAAGTTAAATCAATTTACTTTCTATATTGCTGGTCTGACAAAATCCTCCCTTAAGCTTAGAGTGATGAGATAGAGTTGAAATAGCTTTATCTCAGGCACATATTTCAGCTACAGAATTCAAGATGTAACAGTATTTGATAAAGGAACCAAGAACATACATTGGGGAAAGGACAGTCTCTTCAATAAATGGTGCTGGGAAAATTAGACCTCTGTACACAGAAGAATGAAACTAGACCCCTATCTCTCATCATATAAAAAAAATCAACACATAATAGACTAAAGATGTAAATGCAAGATCCAAATCTATAAAACTTCTAGAAGAAAACACAGAGGAGACACTTCAGGACACAGGACTGGGCAAAGATTTTATGAATAAGGCTTCTAAAGCACAGACAACAAAAGCAAAAATAAACACATGGGATTATATCAAACTAAAAAGCTTCTGCATGTCAAAGGAAACAGTCACCAGAGTGAAAAGACAACCTGCAAAATGGGAGAAAATGTTTGCAAACTACGCATCTGACAAGGGATTGCTATCCAAAATATACAAAGAGCTCAAACAACTCAATAGTAGAAAAACAAATAACCCAATTAACAAATGGGCAAATGAGCTGAATAGACATCTCTCAAAAGAAGACATACAAATGGCCAATGGGTAAATGGAAAAAAATTGCTCAGCATCACTAATCATCAGAGAAATGAAAATCAAAACCACACTGAGATATCATCTCACCCCAGTTAGAGTGGCTATTATAAAAAAAGGCAGAAAATAACAAATGCTCACGAGGATGCAGAGAAAGGGGAACTCTTTTACATTGTTGGTGGGAATGCAAATTAATACAGCCATTATAGAAAACAGTACAGAGGTTTCTCAAACAACTACAGATAGAGCTATCGTATGATCCAGCAATCCCACTACTGTGTATATATCCAAAAGAAAACAGTAAGTCAAAGAGATACCTGCACTCCCATGCTTACCGCAGTTCTACTCACAATAGCCAAGAGTTGGAACCAACCTCAATGTCCATCAATGGATGATTGGATAAAGAAACTGTAGTATACATACACAATGTAATACTATTCAGTCATAAAAAAGAATGAAATTCTGCCATTTGCAGCAACATGGATAAGCTTGGAGAAAATTATGTGAAATAAACTAGGCACAAAAAGAGAAATACCATATGTTCTCACTCACGTGGAAGCCAAAAAATGTTTATCTCATAGAAGCAGAGATCAGAATAGTATTTACTAGGGACTAGTAAGGGGAGGTGAGATAGGAGGATCAAGAGACAGTGGTCAATAGATACAAAATTGTAGAAAGAGAGGAAGAATAAGATGTAGTGTGCAATAGCAACGTAGGGAGACTGCAGTCAACAACATAGTATTGTATACCTTCAAGCTGCTCGTTAGATGACGTTGAATGTTCCCAACACAAAGAGGTGACAAATGTTTGAGATGATGGTTATGCCAAATATCCTGACATGATCATTGCACACTGCATAAATGTACCCAAATATCACATCGTACTCCATAAATATAAACAATTACCATGGGAATTAAGAAATAATAAATTAAAAAGAAGAAAAATTTCAGAGACAGAAGTAGATTGGAGGTTTACAGAAACGGGTGGGGGAAGGAATAGTGAGAAGTTATTGCTTACTGGGTACAGAGTCTATGTTCAGGATGATGAAAAAATTTGGAAATAGCTAGAGGTAGCAGTCACACAGCACTGTGAATGTAATTAAGTCCACGCAATTGTATGTTTAAATATGCTTGAAATGGCAATCCTTATGTTATATATGTCTTACCACAATAAAAAATGGAGAAATAAAGAATTCAGTGTGTATGTAAAATAGAGAAAATGCTAATAAACATATACACCAAAAATGAAAGATCCACTTGGTGAAAATGAATGGGAAAAGAAACCAAGAAATTAGATAGAAGCATGGAATAATTAAATTACAGAGCTTTATTGTGAAAAACCACTTAATTGCCAATATAATCCAATTATTTGGTCCCATTATATAATTTTATTGCATCCTCACGGCTTCTGTGTATGAGATAAATAGCAGCAGCAGTAGCAGCAAAAATGGAATGCTTCAGAAGTAACACCAGGAGATAGAGCATGAGAAGTGATTTAGATAAAAAAAATACTTATAGTCATCACAAGGATAAATAGGGCAGTGGCAAAGAAGCCCAGAACGTCTAGGGTATTTTATAAGAAAGATTCTTCTACTGACAGATAGAAATCTGTTAATAACCAGCGGCAAATGGGTTCTTAGCAAATTTCCTTCCAAACAGCTTTCAGGACAATTATTAGAAAAAGAAAGGATCAGAGGAAAAACCATAGATTGTCAAGGTAATTATGTAAAGTTAAAGGACTTCTGTTAATGTGCATTAATAATAATAATAACATTAATTAATAATATTAATAATTAATAATAATGTGTTATTATTTTAAATAAATTCATTATGGCCTGGAATCCAACATCTTGAACCTAAAAATTTTGTCTGAGGTATTCTTTGGATGCAGTCTAGATTGTTTTCAGGGGCAGCTACTGAGTCATTACCAACACTGTTATTTTCATCTTTACCCATCTTTTTGATTATGTGTTTCTGAGGGACATAAGGTGCTAGTAGATTTTGCACAGAATAATTATGACAGATGCATGTTACCTGTAGAAACTCACAGTTTATCACAGAAGAAATTCATGAAGATTATAAAATCAACAGAATAAACATTGCACACTGGATAACTTTATATTTGTATGTATGTATTTATACATTTATATACGTGTGTGCACATACACACACATAAATACACACGAGTTGCTTGCTCTCTGAGCATTCTAAGGCAAACATGAGGAACACTGGAGGCAGTGTTAGGTCCAAACAGGGTGAAGGTTAGGAAGCTGTTAAAAGCCTATTATGAGGAGGGTATTGGGGGACTCTTCTAGAATCTGTCTTTTAAAATGCATCCCGTGAGGAGCTGCTTCCACGAGGGCTCCTGCATGCAACTCCCTCCCTGGGTCTCCATGTGACTTCATACTCACAAGATGGGCAAGAAGGAGAAGACGGCCACCAAAATGGAGACAGTGTTCAAGCATTCAGGGGAGGAGGAAACCTTGAAGCTCTGTTAACTGATTTCCAGACACTAGATGCTAAAAACACTCAGACTGTAGAAACATTGTGTTCCCCACCTTCAACAAGGTTAAAAGTGTCCCTCTCTGCTCATCCTCAGAACAATGAATTGGTCCTTTTCAGAAGCAAATATTTCAATGGCCAAAAAAAAAAAAAAAAACCCATTTATATAACAAGCTCCATATCTACAATATCAGCAAGGACACCTGGACTAAAGGCGAAATTCCCAATCCTCCCAGGTGCTGTGCTCTCAAGCTGTGGTGGTGCCTCAAAGCGACAGAAAACTGTGGGTCTTTGCAGGGGAGTGTGCTTTTCCTAATGGAGAGCAGTGCCACCACTACAAGGATCTCTGGGTCTGGCCTTTGGCCACCAGGACCTGAGAGCAAGTCAAATCAACTGTGGCTGCTTTAGGACAGAGTGGACATCGGATGGTAACTTGGAAGACACAGCTAATTCTTTTTGGTGGTTTCCACGAGAGTGCAAGTGTTTACCTCTGTCACAATGACACGTATACCTTTAACCAGAGCACATTCACGTCGAGCAAGCTGTCCATCGAAGGGGCTGGGCTCACACCCAGACTGGGCTGCCAAATGTCCACCACACTCCAGAGCAGCGTGAACATCTGTGGAGGCCACCGGAAGCAATAAAGAAAGATGGGGACTAACACTCCCTGCATTCAGATACGCTCCTTCTCTGAGGAAGGGGGAGAAGGCAGATGAGCGTGCACTGGGATTAAGGTCTGGTTTTTTGGTGGCTGTGGCCCTGAGTTGTCAGACGTGGCTCTTTGAGGGTGTCTGTGATGAGGAAGAGAGTCTGGAGGGCAACTTCTTTAATAACCTATACTTCCATGATGCCACAAGCACTGCTGGTTTGTAGGACAACTAAAGGAACCTAGGTCAGAGAAGAGACGATGTAGGCAAGGAAAAAAAGTGGAGCCCAAAGGGGATAGACACCACGTGGGAATGTGGGGAGGATGGCACTCAGGGGTCCCCGGAGATGGCCAAAGTGGTGGTCGCAGAGGATGGGGTGGAGATCACCGTTAAACGGTGCCCTCTGCCCCAGGCTGGGGGAAGGATGAAGACAGTTCTGAGGAAGCATGGCCTCTGATACAGCCGAGTCTCGCTCCAGCGCCATGCCGGCCACGCAGCACTGGCTGCTCTATGGTGCAAGTCTGAAATGGGACTGCCAGTTCTCCCTCCATGACATTTCATGTCTTGATCTCCACAAGACAGAAGAATGGAAGACTGTGGTGGAGATGGATGCAGAAACTCAAGTGCATCTGAAAGAAACAGACTCAGAAGAGGAGAGAGATGAAGTCGAGGATGCAGAAAGTGGAAATGAAGAGGAGGATGAGGAGGAAGAGTGGCCACTGGACATGGACTCACTGCTGAAACTTGAGCACTGTGGGGCGAAGCACGCCGGGGCTGATGCGGGGCCTAATGCAAAGGAGAAGCAAGTGCTGAAAGTCACCCACCTGTGCCAACACAAAAACTTCCTTTGGTGATTTGAGATGCTACACTGGGACAAATGTTAAACTGACTAGTGAATTCCCTCAGTATCACTGAGTATCATTTAAAATGAATTGGAGTAGTAACAAGGTAGCTGCAAAGATTTTCTTTGCAGGAATATATAAGTATACCAGGAATCCTGGTGAGTCCTTTGTCTTCCTCTTCATGGAGACTCTTCACCAGGGCAGGGTATCAACCAAGTCTTTACTTCCTGTGTTGAGATGCTTTGACATCTGCGGGCTTGCTGACCCTGGAGGGACTGCCTCTCCCAGGGTAGCCACTTCCTAGAGACAGTAAACAACTGGCCAGGAACTTGCTGTTCAAATGCAAACCAGCCATTCCAGAGCCCACACCCCCAACCACCTCCTTTATCAGGCTCTCGCACTATCCGCCTGCCCTAATCTCCTCAGGGTAGATACTAAACAGCTCCCAGTCTGTGCCAGAGCTAGGCTTAGGATGAGATCACCTGTAAAGGACGTTGAGACTTTGAATATGGAGAACACAGAGGAAGTACATTTTTATTCTAATAACATGGGAATATATTGTGCTTTTTTGGAGGGCTTTTCTTCCACAAAACAAGGAGTTTTTATTAAAAGGATGTTTTGATTCACCAAATATTATCAATCTAGAGATCATCTCTTCTTGGACTTTTAAAAATAAGCAAAAGCTGCCCACAAGTCAGTTTGCAAACATTTTCTTAGTTATCTTTAAAATAAAGTATCTTTTGGTTGGGGGAAAAATGCATCCTGTTTGTTCAGAATGGGAAAGCTTTATGGAGTGATGGTGTGGCTAAGATGCACTTGAACAATGCAATAGAGAAAAAAAGAAAGCATTCTTCATAAGGTAAGTCTGTAGATTAGGTTCAATACGGAAACAGAAGTAAGCGAGGGGGTTTAAATTAAATACCTGGGTTGATTTTTTTTTTTTTTTTTATTTCACTGCCAATGCTCCTAATCAATGTACTGCTTTGGGGGGTTAAAAATTTCTGGCATCAAATAATCTTATTTGTATAACAATAATTTCTTTGTGCACTATTACAGAATTATCTGAAACCAACTAATTAGAAACAGATGTTTGACTACTTCAGTATTGGATTTAAACTGGTTATTCAATTCTAGGGCCATTATAATTGTCTCAAAATCTATCAAGAATACACTTCTAAATCCTTGGATCACTAATTGTGTGTGCATATATTGGGCTTACATAGAATCCTGAAACTATATAGTAAGGCGTTGACAATAATCTAACTAAATAGATCATGGATATTTTATTAAATATAAATGACTTTATTTTCAAGTTAGCTTCTGTATGGTTATTCTTAATAAATATATTTAGACTCATTTTTTTCTTCAAGAGAGAAAGATTAGACCAGAGAGGCATTAGCATATCTATCTACATAAAGGAATAATATGCAGACAAAAAAGAAACAAGGAAAATCTGCAAAATATACTAAATGAAAAAGAAAGTCAAGTATCCAAAAGAAAATAAGTGAAAAAATCAAAGTGCAAAACAGTGTGTATAGAGTAGGCTATCTTTGCTGTAATTTAACAGAAATCAAATAAGTTGTTTTTAAAATGTATTTGGAAATGTAAATGATCAGGAATAGTCAAGGTAATCTTGAATAAGAACAAAGCTAAAATACACCACATACATCATAATGTATTAAAAAGGTGAAATATTTAAGAGAGTATGCTGCTAGCAATAAGGTAGACAAATAGGTCAAAAAGAGGGTGCCCACAAGTAGACACATGCGCGTACAGTGACATGATTCGTGATAACGGTGACACTCTGGTGCAGTAAGGAAAGAACGATACAAGACGCACACATATATCATCACCTAAGTGAACCCGCAACTAATCAAGTCTCTGGCTCTAAATGCTAGTTTATATGAAGAAAAGAAGGGACAGAAACACACATTAAATGAATCTCAAGGATGTAATCAGCAACATTCACATGTGGAGAATTTACAGGACGAATGACCTGATTTCTTAAAAAAAAGCCATAGGAGAAAAGGTCAGAGGAGAGCTGGCTGTTACAGATTGAAACTTAAGGGACATGTCAATCAAATCAATTTGTAGACTTATTTGGATCTTGATTTGAACAAACCAACTATTAAAAACCATGCTTAGATAATCCAGAAATTTTAACATAGAATGAATATTAGATGTTTTTAAAGAATTATTGTTAATGTACTGTAGTTATGTTTTTTAAAAGTCATTATCTGTTAGAGATATTATTGAATTATTTATGGATGAAATGATATAATTTCTGGTATTTGCTTCAAAAAAATCCAGCAAAAGGAAGAGGTGGTCATACATGAAACAAGTCCAGGCAATTGCTGGTCACCATTGGTACTCCATGATGTGTACACAGTGGTTCACTTGTAACTATGCTTGAAATTTCATACATGAAGACCTACCCCATCCTTAGCTTTCACCAGGAGATCATAGGTGGCTGGATCCCTTTCCCTGTCGATATCTTGAGAAACACAGATTCTCCCATCATGGGGGTCAATCCGGAATGATCGTGGTGCTTCATAGCTGTGGAATCCATCGTAAAGAAAATACTCAACAAAGCCATAGAGTCCTGCATCTGCATCAGAGGCTTTTACCTGTGAGACAGGAGGTTGATAGAAACGTTAGCATTACTTTCCAGTTAGTCATGAATTATTCTAATGATTTTCACAACCAATTATCCCTCAGAGTTATTCACAAAGCATAGGCCTTGGTTTTATGTCTCTCTCCTCTCTTGCCTTGGAGACAACTCCCCCTACACTTTCCTCCTTCCTTTGCAAGTTCACCTTTTCAGTCTCCTTTGCCCACACTCTTATACTTTCAGGTAATCTCTGAATGTTTGAGGTCCTTAGGGTTCAGTCCTGGGTTCTCTTGTCTTCTTATTCCTTTCACTATTCATATGTGATCTCAACCAACCCCAGGGTTTAAAAGCATCCATTTGGCTGACAACTTGACAACATGCCTGCTGATACTGTCTCATACTTAGGCCTTTGAATGATGGGGCTTGACACACCACCCCACCCTGTGAGAGCAGCCAGGGAAGGGCAAAAATATCAAGGCAGTAAATGGAACTATTACTAGAAATCCAGTCCCAACGACAGAATTCACCTGGAGTGTGAGATCTGAGTCCCCTGGGCCAGGTTTCCTTCTGGGAGTAAAATGCCAGTCAGGGCCCCGCCTGGCTGTGAAGACTGATACTGCACAATTCGCCCAGCGAGTGCATGGGGAACGAAGTTCAGCCCACGCTCTGCTTGCCAAAATAGGCGCACGGACATGGAGCTGTAGCTGCCCAGGGGAAAGGGCACCTTTTTCTTTGCCCATAAATACCGTTTGTTTTAGCAGCAGTCCTGTGCCCTGTAGAAAAGATGAAGCACCTGGAATTACGAAAGCATTTAACTTATTTATACTAACTGTGGGAGTCTTGAGCTCATAGACTCAATATAATACCTTTGATTTACAACCCAAATAATAGTAACAGCAAACATCTACATAGCACTTACAATAAAAGAAGCACTTTAAAGGAAGATCAACAGGAATAGAAAAAAAGAGGGAGAGAGGGAAGGAAAGGACAGAGGGAGGGAGGAAGGGAGGAGAGAAAGAAGGAAGGAAGGAAAGATGGATGGATGGAAGGAAGGAAGGAAGGAAGGAAGGAAGGGAAAGAAAGAAAGAGAGAGAGAGAGAGAGAGAGAGAGAGAGAGAGAGAGAAAGAAAGAAAGAAAGAAAGAAAGAAAGAAAGAAAGAAAGAAAGAAAGAAAGAAAGAAAGAAAGAAAGAAAGAAAGAAAAGAGAGAGAAAGAGAAAGGAAAAAATTACACTGTATGGAAGAGCTTAACATGTACTACATACTTAGAACTTCTAAGGTACTAATATCCATTTTACAGATCAGAAAAGTGAGGCTCAGAGATTTTGTGCAACTTGTCAAAGATCACATTGCTAATAAGGGTCAAAGCTGGGATTCATATCCAGGCAGCTGGCTCTGAGGTCATGCTCTTAAAGACCGTGCTGTGTACACTACCTCACAAATCTGAAGCCTTGCCATTTCATCCTTTATTTAATTGTCTATTTTTTTTCATTTGATGATACAGCCTTTTAAATTAATCTTCATTCTCATCTATTTCATATTCTTTGGCAAAATTATCCTGTGCAACCAGCTAACATATGTGTGAGTTATTCTTTTCATCAGATGGGCTGAACCAGGAAATCCACAAATTTTCTCACTACAAAGAACTGAACTCCAAATACATTTGTTTTATTCCATTCTGACAGCTGTTAATAATTTAGTAGCCTCAAGTCCCCAAAGACACCAAATATGTCCTCTAAAACAGTATGGCATTCTCAACAACTTTGGCTTGATTGGAAGACAAACGCAATCAACTTTAAATTCTACAACTCATTCTCAGCCTTTGATATAGCACATATTAACAAGTGATTTGGCTTATATAAAACAAGTTTCCTTACTTCCACTTTTAGGAGCTTTCTCCCATCTGGACTTCTGGCAAAGCAAAATAAAAGGAGTCAAAAGTGGGATAAGAGTACTGATCTCAATTTCTGTTAGCAGTTCAGGTTTTGAGTTTCAGAATCATAAAATAAGAATGTATTCCTGCCTGCTTTTACCCAACTCCCTAAAAATATTGACCTACTATCCCCTAACAACATGTTCCACCTACTAATATTGGTCTTAAATGCCTAGAATTAATTTGGCATCTTTATGAGGTTTATATTTACCAATATCCATTTACTGAACATATAAAATCCAGACAATTGGAATAATAGAAAATGAAAATGGCTTCGTCAAAGCTTCAAGAGGAAATCTTGATTAGTTAAGAAGCTCGGTGGGCTCTTTCTCCAGAGAGAGCTGCTTCAATCAAAGCAAGAGACACCTGGTCATAATCTACTATCACAATCTTACGGTGCTAATTTGGGATCTAGAGGAGATGGTGAAGGGATTTTACCCCTGAATCTACTCACAGAGCCACATGACAGCACTCTCAGTGCCATCCCTGTGTTCCTCCTCTTGATCTCAATCTACCTGTTTTAGACCGAGATGAATCTAATGATTTTTCCTTTAAACTTATGTGACCCAGAACTGTTCTCCCTGAATCCGATCTTTCACAAATGTAATGGAGATGTTATAAAAATGCAAACTATCAACATGATATTAACATGATTCTATTATTAGCTTTCTGAAATTTAAAGAATTTTTATCACTTCCCTTACATTAACATCTGTGCAAGGATTCCTCCCTATGAGTGTGTCATGGAGACAGGAGACAAATGGAGAACAGTGGCCCCTGAAAGCATGTTTCCATGTTTTCTGGATGTTCTGCAAGCGGGATGGATCTACCAGCATTCCCTACCAGAACAGCCCCCTGTATCTGAAAAGGTCTCCTCTCCGTCAACTGGGCAGCTTTATGGTGGGCCACATGTCTAGCCACTCACATCACCTAGACCCAACCCAGAAGGCACAGGGTGACATTGTGTTGACATTACCCTTTGCCTAATTCTAAGCAATAACACCATTTAATTAAGTGATGTTCTTAAAAAAGCCTCAGAGCTCAATTAAAAAAAGAAAGAAAAAAGAACAATCAAACAAAAAAGTCCTAGGAAAAAAATAACAGCACTTTAGATAAAATTTAAAATAAAAAAGCCCACTTAATTTTTTTTTTATTATAATTTCCAAAATTTCTACCATGAGCATATGGCAATTTGTCTGGAGAGACAATGTTATTGACACAACACACTCACACATAGAACTTCAAATAGAAAAGAAGAAAGGATAACCATGATATGAGTTTTTCCATTTGCAGTGCCCAGCCAAGCCCTGATCCTACAGCTAAAACGGGACTAGTCCATTCCAGTGGAAGTTGGGTTCAGCATCAGAGACAACAATGGATGCAAGTGTGCCATTCTCTGAACACAATGTGGCAAATTCACCAACAACTCATGTCTTCCCAAGTCTAATAGTCAACACTGGGTCCTAACATTCTGAATCCCTCTGCAGCCTTTCGCACAGCTATCATCTCCGTACTGAACACACTGACTGTAGGAACTAAATGGTGACCCCCCAAAAAGATATGTCCACACCCTAATCCCTAGAACCTGTGAATATTACTGTATGTGATACAAGAGTAACTATTGCCTTATATGGCAAAAGACGTGGTTAAGTTAGGGATGTAAAAGCAATGACAAGTGTCCCTATAAGAGAGAGGCAAAGGGAGATCTGCCAGACAGAAGAGGAGGGGGTATGTAACCACAGAGGCAGAGATTGAAGTGATGTGGCTACAAGCCAAGGAACCCGGCAGCCACCAGAAGCTGGCAGAGACAAAGAATGGATGCCCCCTTAGAGCCCCACAAGCGAGCAAAAACCTGCCAGATTTTAAGACTTCCAGGCTCCAGAATTGTGATAAACAGTAATTTCTGTTATCTGAAGTCACAAAATTCATGGTGATTTGTTACAGCAGCCCTAGGAAATGAATACACTCCCCGAGTGATCTGACCCAGGCCTATGGCGCTGAACCAACCTCTGTGCCAAGGACTCCCAACGCTGTATCTCCATTCTGCATTCCAGATTCATGCATTATCCTACTGCCAGCTAACATCTCCCAAGTGGCTGTATTAGTCCGTTTCTATTGCTTATAACAAAATACACAGGACTGGGTGATTTATAAAGAAAACAAAATTTATTTGCTTAGTTTCTGAGGCTGGAATGTCCAAAGTCCATGGAACACATCTCGGAATCCAAGTCCAGGGTATTGGTGGTGACTTCAGTGACTCAGGGCATCACATTGCAAAAATGGTGGAGCAGAGAGAACAGAGACCAACCTCCTCACTCACTCTCCTTTGAAAGCCCTCAGAACCACGCCCCGGACCCACCATTATAACCTATTCACTACCACATGGTCCTAGAATCTAATCACCTCTTCAAGGTTCCACCTTTCATTTACCATAATAGGATCTTCCACCTTCTTAACAGTCACGGTGGAGGCCAAGTTTCTAATATACAACACTTGGGGGACACAGTCCAAGCTTCAGTAAGTTTTGTGGGGGACATAATTCAATCTGCTACAGTGCCTACTGGCACCTCAAGTGTAACATGCTCAAAGTGAATTCCTGAGCCCCACCTTCACTCCATTCCCCAAATCTGCTACCTTCCCAGTCTTTTCAGCGAATGGCACCACCATTCACTTTCTGCTACAACAGCCAGAAAGACACAGTTCAAATGACACCAAATCACATTGCTCTCCTGCTCAGAACCTTTCAATGGCTTCCCATCATACCAAAGAAAGTCCAGCTCTTCAGTCTGACCCTTGGCTTCTTCTCTGACCTCATCTTCCCCTGCACACTCACTCCTCTTTGAACATGCTGGTCTCCTTGATGATCTTCTACCTGTCTTAGGGACTTTGCACTTGCTATTCTCTCTGCCTGGAAGGCTTTGGTATAACCTGTTCCTGATATTTTTCAAGTCTCTGTACAAATACCAACTAACCACACAGGCCTTTCCTGATTGCCCTAGCTATCACCCTCACCTCTGCCATATGCTTTCCTTTGCCCTGCCATGCTTTATTTGAAAGCACTTATCTCCACTCTATACTACATTACATATTTTTGTGTACTGATAATATGTGTTCCTCACTGGAATTTAAGCTTTAGAGCAAGCATTATACTTATCTTGCTCCCCACTGTATCTTTAGCACCCAGGACACTGGTGCCTGGTTCATAATGGGGGTGCTATAAATATTTGTTGCATGAATGAATGAATCTAATTTTCTGCATAGATGCAAGCGTGTTTAAGTAATAACCTTCATGACTATTCTCTCTATTTGACCTTTAGAGAAAACATATAAAAACAAGATGTTTCATAACACTTATCAAAACACTCATTGAGGAATAATTTTTTATTCCTAAAATGCAATCTATTTATCATCATAGAATAAAACTTATAAAGCCATCGAAATGCTGCAACTAAAATCAGCTAGGTAGAAGATGAAGTAAAAAACAGAACAAAACAAAACAAAACTACCTGAAGGCATGTGAAACTATTAAGAGAACAGAACTGTGTTTTTTTTTTATCTTTTAAAATGTATTTTCAGAGATGTTGATAGACCTATTAGATGAATAAACAATATATATCCTCAAGTTACAGCTCCCCCCAAAATGGTTATGATGACATGTTTTTATTGCCTTAATTAAGGAATAAAGTTAAGAAACCATTGATCCTAATAAATTATTGTACTTTCTCCCTACACCCAAAAAACAGCATAAGGAAATTTTGTCAAAGGAGACCAGTAAGATGGCAAAGAGCAGGGTGGGGGGTCGGTTGGGTAACTTGTCTTATGAGGTGTTTCAAAGCAAACAATGAAAACTGTGATCTATAAAAAGAATCGGCAGACATCAACATAACACAAAAGCAAGACTTGAAACAGATTCTGGTAAAACTAAATTTTTTGTATATTACAAAGGAAACCACCGAGAAATGTGGGTTTATCCACATAAATTACTAGAAAAATTAGCAAAATGCACAAGGAAAAAATTGTTTGATATTAACATCACACCAAAATAAATTCTACACAGATACATTAAATGTAAATAGTAAAATCATTTAAAGCACAGAAAATATACAGGGAAATATTTGGCTGATACTTATACTGGAAAGAAGTTTCAAAGCAAAAAGGAATTTGAAAACTAAAAGATGAACAAAAATTGCAAAGACAAAAGTCAATACAATGACTACATAACATTTAAAATTCCATTATGTCAAAAATATTATGCACACCAAAAAATTAAAGGCAAATTAAGTGTGATATCTACAACAAATACAGGTGGTCCCCAATTTATGATGGTTCGATTTATGATTTTTTGACTGATGGTGCAAAAGTAATACACATTCATTACAAACCATTCTATGAATTACACATACAACCATGAGATTACATGAGACTATTTAACACTTTATTATAAAATATATTTATGTTAAATTATTGTGCCCAACTGTGGGCTAATGTAAGTGTTCTGAGCACATTTTAAGGTAGGCTAGGCTAAGCTATAATATTCAATAGGTTAGGTGTATTCAATGCACTTTCGACTTATAATATTTTCACTTTATTGATGGGTTTATCAAGATATAACCCCATCATAAGCTGAAGAGCACCTGTCTAAAATATTCTATTTATGCCACACACAAAAAAATCCAACATATAGAATACAAACAAAAAGGAAATAAGCCAAATGTTAAGTGATTTAATGTGGTGAATAAATGATTTTTATGTTATACTCCATTCATTTGCTCCCAAATTTTCGAAAATAAAAATAATGTCATGGAAACAGTATTATGAAAAAGCAGGTGGTCACCAAAAAAGCCTGAAGATAAATTGCATTTGATAAGCATTTGCCATCTGTCTATTCAGCTGCTATGCGTATATCTTCGTAGCATCTCAGTCCTGAAAACTCACCACACTGAAGATGTGTAGGAGTGACAGGGCCTACAGCATTATTGGTTTCTAAACCAGAGGTGGGAAAACATTTTCTATAAAGGGCCGAATAGTAAATATTTTAGACTCTGCAGGCCATATAGCCTCCGTTACAACTATTCAACTCTACCTTTTTAGCATGAAAAAGCCATAGACAATATGTAAATGAATGGCTGTGTTCCAATAAAATTTTATTTATGAACAGTAAAATTTGGATTTCAGGTAATTTTCACTTGTCATTAAATATTATCTCTCTCTCTTTTTTCAATAATTTAAAAATGTGAAAACTCTTCTTAGCTCACAGGTGGTACAAAAACAGGCAGCAGGCCAGATCTGGCCATGTGCCATGGTTTGCCAACCCCTGATGTAGACATGAGACTAAATCTTTAGAAAAACAGAGTCAGCACTTCAGGTCCTGGTATACAACTTTGAAGTGACTTGAGTCCAGTGTACATCAGGGGCTCATTTGAATCCTGTGGCTGAGCTGGTCTTATAGGCAAGTTTTGTCCCCATTAATTGCTGCCTCTATGTTTTACTCCCACAGTAAAGAGAAAAGCTAAACTATATATTTTAAAAAAGGACCTAAACCATTTGATTTCAGGCCACAGCCAAGATGCATTCACTGAGTTAAATTTCTCTATCATGACTTTATATTTTACAAAAGTTTCATTTTAATAATGTTTTCCATTGGAAAAATTAAAATTCAAAACATTATTTGTTACATGATCCAATAACTCTTTTGTGAAGATTCTTTTACCTTTAGATTTAAATACACACACCCACACACACACCCCTAACAAAACAAAAAACCAAAAACCCTCCCAGTACCCACGGTACCTGCACTAAAAAGAATCAAAGGAAGTTTAAGTTAGAGGAGCATTCGAGTTGGCCCCCCCTCCGCAGCTGCATGGAATTCCTCCTTCCAGAGCTCTTCTGTACCAATGACACTGTTTCAGTGATGTCAAATCTTTCTTCACAGGTAATGTACTCATTTTTAAAAGAGTAACTAATTGATATTTATAGCATAAAAATGTAGGTTGCTGGTAGCTGATCCCCTGATTGGTGCTTTAAAAATCATTACCTGCCTTTGGTTTATTAACTTATTTCTGTGAACCCAACTAGGCTGTTGATACCCTTAATAATCTCATGGCAAAAGAATAGATAGAAATACTAGTAGCAACTGTAAGTGACTGGTTGACTCAGTACTAATGTTCAAAAATCAACTCACTATAATATCACTAAGTAATAATTCACGCACACACACACATACACACAGTAGTCCTAATTATACCTACATCATTGCTCACTTCCAGACACACCTGCAAACAGTTATGGCTCCGACTTCTACAAATTCTAACTACATGGGTTTCAAGTTCTCTTTTTAACTGTTTGTTATTGGCATTCTCAGTGTTAGTAACGAGCAAAATTCTCTTAGTTCTCATTCGTATCTATCATGTACAAGTTCTCTAATTGTTCAAGACAACCATTATTTTCAAATACTTTATACTCTTCATCACCAAACAATAACAGAATGAAGGGGAAACTATATTTCAAAGACAAATCAATCTTTAATGTTTTCCTAATATTCTCATAGGTATCTGGAAACAGAAAGACTTACACAACCCGAAAATTTTGTGCATCCAAAAATGAATTTGGATTACAAATACCATGTTTATCACAGATATTCACAATATCAAATATTGTAAATCCTTAAATGACCAATTCATGACAGGATCTTAGCTAGATATTTCCTCCAAGGTTTTATTTCCCTGAAGCTCAGACACAAATTCTTTGGCCAGAATAAACCTTATATGAGAACTGGCAGAAGAAATAGACTTATAAAAGTGGATACCCCATTTTTATTCTTTCTTTCTACCTCTAAGATTTCACAATAAGATTTGTTTTCATATATGCCTCATATACAGAGACATCAGTACTTCCAAACTGCTGCATAAACGTCTTTTCTTTTTCTGCATTCTCTGGTTTGATGATCTCATCCAGTCTCATGATTTTAAACACCTCCTATATGAGGACGGCCCCAACCTCGTATCTCCAGCATGAGCCGTTTCCCTGTACTCCAGATTCACATATAGAAGCACCTCCATGACTTGCCCACTAGGCATGTTTACAGGCATCTCATGTTCAACATGGCCAAAATAGAATTTTGATTTCTCCTCACTGACTTCCCCAAATCATTCATCTCAGTCTTTTCCAATAAAATGGCACCTCCATCCATCCCACAGCTCAAGTCAAAAACCTAGGAGTTACTATTCTATTCTTTCCCCTAACCTTGAGAAAAACTGACCAGCAAAATAGTTGTAGACTAGCTATGTCTCTCAGCCTAGAATGTGGAAGTTATAGAACAACACTGGGAGATCAAGTGAGATAGGTACAGGCAATTAAATGTGTGTAAAACACCAGACTTTAATAATTTAACTCTGATCCAAACTTCTTTCTTGTTTATATTGTTTATGCCTTTCAGATTGGGAAAGATGAAAATGTAGATCACATTTGGTGTTGATTATAAGACGTTCTCATTTTCGAGGAAAAAACTGGAAATTATACAAAAGGTCCATCAAAATGGAGTTGACTACTTTTATGGCTATACAGCAGAATAGTATGCATTTGTTGAAAAGAATAAAGCAGATCCAAGTATACCCACATAGAAAAATAACCAGTATATATTGTTGAGAATAAAAGTTGTAACGCCATGTAACTATAGTAAGACCCTATTTCCGAATTTAGAAAATAATATATGTGGTACAATGATCCTATTGCTTCTGAGCTTAGAGACTCAAAGAGCTAAGCAAAAAGAAGGGCTTTTATACTGATCTTCAAGAGACCAGGGCTTTTTAGCATACCCCCCATATACAGAGATGCCTGAACATTCCTTGGGTATTCCATGCTGTCCAGGTCGGATGACAGCTTTCTTCCTCACCTTCACCTTGGGGCTAAAATCATTCCTCCTCTACTCCAGAACCAAAAATGAGCAGATCAGGGAATTTAATTACTGATGCTGGGTTTGCAAGAGAAGACAAAGTTCTAATGGAGAAGGGGAAGAGTTAAAAAGAGTGAAGCAAAGGCGTGCTTCTCCAAGAGCGTGGTCATATACAAATGGGAATGAAAGTTGGGGCCAAAGGACAGGGCAAACGGGCAGCTCAGCTAGGCACCTCATCTGACTTTCAGCACCCTCATGACATCATATCGGTTGGACTGCACCACAAGAATCCAAAATAAAAGGTGATTTCACATGTTTTAGGGCTCTAGGTGTTCCCTAGCAGAGGAAGAATACCAGATACTGCTCGCCCTGCAGTTACCTATAGTCCTCCAATGTGACCAGCAGGAGGTGAAGGTCATGGGCCACATTGTACCACGGGACCTGATGAAAGGTAAAGCCCATTTCCTTTAGAACAATAGCCTAACTCAAGATAGAAGGCCATTGCACAAAGTTACATCAATGTTGCTATTTCCAGAGAAAATAAAAATCTGAATAATATACACCAAACTACTAACAGGTGTTCTCTCTTGGGGTGCAATCATGAGAAACGATCACTTTGTACATGATACGTTTTTGTAAAAAATGTTTTATACTGTGCATGCTTTACTTTATGTACAAAAAGCTCCCATGTTGTTTGATTGTTAAGGGCCACCCTTTACCCACTCTACCCACAAAGGAACACTGAAACCTCTGTGAAATCTTGAGGGGGAAGCTGGTTGTTGGATTATTTCCAAAAGACTCATGTTTAAGCATCTCCTCTTTGGGGAATGAATTTCATAATTAAGAATCATTTGACTTTTATCTTTTAGTTGTACCTGTCTTGTAAAGAGATATCCTAAGTTTATGCAGAAAGATCTTCCCAGTGGAAGGGTGCATTCCCAGATATAAACATGGACAGGTGTACTCTAAATCAAGGGCGACCCATGGGTTTGAAAACTTCTGCAAAAGACAAATAGTACGGAGGCATAGCTTAGAAGTCAACAATATAAACTTAAGGGCTGTGCATCACAGTGTGGACTCTGACTTAATCATAGTTAACCACTTCCGTTTTCACACCTGCAGAAGGATTGTATTCACAGTTGGCAAATGTTAAGGTTTGGAAATGCAGACTCAATTTAGCAGCTTTACTTTCCTGGGGGAAAGGAGCAGGCAGTGCACAAAGACCTAACTATGGAAGCGTGGACCATGTGTCTTTGCCTCCCTGCCTGTAGTACAATTGCTTTTACAGAACTGTGTATCTATTTAAGGGACTTCCTATTATATTTCAGTGTTCCCTTTCTAAAGACCGACAGGAAAAGAACTCTCTCAGGCTTCAGTGCCAGTGTTGCTTCTGCTGAGCAGCAAGAATGTTTCTAACTCAAGGACTGTATGAGTCTTATCACCCTGTTGAATCTGTACTAGCATTAATACATGTTCATGATCTTGTGGGATCTATTTCCAGGTACTAAATTCTACCTGACTTTATCTTACTGTTCCACTTCACTTTGCTTTTGCCCTGATTTCTTTCATTTTTTTTCTCATCTTGCTGAATTTGGGGTAGTTTTGTTAGCAGCTTTATATTATTTTTTAAGTAAGTGGAATATAAAATACATTAACTTAGTAAATATTATCCAATAGAAATGGATGTTACAAGCATACAGCTATATGATTAATACCTGACCAAGGAATGTAAGCACAGGAAGTGTTTTTAGGCCAGAGCAGACTAACAGATCACTCTACACATGCTGCTGAAAGGAACTGAGTGCAAAACCTATTCCTTGCAAGGTAGAGTCTCTACATGTTGACTGAAGTCCCCCTCATGTGGCTGTTCAATTGATCTCACAATGATCCAGGTCAACAATTAGCCCTGAAACCTTTTGGTTGAGGACAAAGACAATATGAGGATAATAAATGATTATTTTAAAAACAGTTTCTTCATATAATGGTTTAATCAGACATTTTATCTCATGGTGGCACATTCCATTGTCTTCCCATCCCAATGCCATGAGTGCTGCCTAAATGCTGGCTATGTCTAAAATATACTTTTAAGCTAAAAAGCAGTATTTTCCTCCCAATGTATCTCATTGAGTGTTTTATTACATCACACTCTAGTCTAAACTCCCCAGTTTTCCAGAAATGTTCCACCAGTCCCCTCTTTTACCATTTCAGCCCTGACTTGACATGCTGTTCTCCAGGACCCTGAAGTTAAAAAAGCCCCACCTCTCTACTCCCAACAGCATGCCCGGGGACTCCCAGAGTTAATTACATTATATCTTGACGGTGTCTCTACAAGGGTGAGGAGTGACTCTTAGGATGAACTTGTTTGTATTCTTGAGCTGGTATAACTCATTAAATAATAACATTTATGTATATGAACATTAATGATGCACATATGGAATAATTCCTTGGTTTCAGATACATCCACACCCGAGAATTTAAAAATCAATTTAAATAAGATTTATCATGCAGTTGATTGATAAAAACCAAAATTATATCCATCCATTGAAGTGATTCTCAAATCTGTAATCACAGGTAAATAGGTGGTGAAAAACAGAAAGGCGGGAGAGGATCCACTCATATTTCTCTTCTACTCTCCATACTGTTATTAATGAGGGGGTCAGAGTCAAAGAAGACCTCAGGGCCATCAATATCCAACTCCACGCCAGACTAATGCAGTGCAACAAATTTTGTTTTTGAAATGGAATGCACTTTAATCAGCACTATTCGGCAGGGGGATTATAGCTGGTTAAGCACAAGGCTCCTCTCAGGAGCCAGACTGACTTTGAACCCTGGTTTTATCTCTTGGCAGCTACATGGTCTTGGGCAGTAACTTAACTTCTCTGTACTTCAATTTTGTAAAAAGGGACTAACCCATCTCTAGGCATGTTTTCAGTTGCAAGTAACAGAAAACCCCACCCAAAATATCTTAAATAATAAGATCACTTATTAGTCCCCTTGTCAAGAAGTCTGGGGTTGGGGGGTGGAAGGGAGTATGCAGATCTGTACGTGATGGATGTCTTAATAGGAAACTTTCACAATCAGCCAAATCCCAAAGGACTACACACTGAGGATGAACCAAAATTAATAGGGTCCTTCTGAGGATTTTTAGCATGTCGTTCCATAGAACTCTAGCTCTTACCTCATTTTAGGTTAGTCCTAGGCTGTGGTCCCCAAAGCACCCGAGGAATTAAGCACTTACCTTTCTCTAGAAGGGTATCTTCAGGTCCAAATTATCCCTATAAAATTCAGCAGCTCAATAATCCCCTCAACATTCTGGAGTTTTTATAGCTCATTCCTTCCACTCCCTGACCATGCTTGGTGCATTGGCTTATTCTCTTGGGTTTGGTCCTCACATTGGGCCAAATTGCTGTTTGGTGCCATATGTCACTCGCCAATGACAATATCCAGAGGTAGAAAGGGAAACTTATCTACCTTGCATCCATATTTTAGAGAAAAAAAGCTCTTCCCATGAGTTCCCGCCAGCTTTTCCCTCAAGACTCAAAATTGCATGGCCTGCCCAGCTCCAGCCAGCCATATGGCAAAGTGAATTAGACCACCATGATTTGTTTAGATCCGTTACAATTCACTCCAAGTGGAAGGACTGAGGAGGAGCCAACAAGGATATGTCCATCTGGGGAGGGGTGAAAAAAACAGGGACTCTGTAGCAAGGACAAAGTTGGGTAAGAGTGTTGGACAGGCCACTACTAGACTTTGCTGCTCTACTTTCGGGCTATTTTGAGTTTTATATGAGGTAACATGTAACACTCTTAGCACAATGCTTAGCAACTAGCATAGAGCAGTAAAAACAAATATGTTAATTCTTTGTATTATTAAATAATATGCATTATTAATAACATCATTAGGTATGAGTACAATATATTCCTTCCACACTGTGTTCATAATCTATTTACTAAAATACAGTGTTCTTAACACTTGCTTGGTCACATTCCACTTTGAGAATCTGATGAATGCACCTGCCAACATAAAGTGCACCTGCAGATGTGTGCTCCTTGGGTGCCCAGGCACACAT